AGCTTACCCGCTGCAAGAGAAGGCAAAGCAAATATAGGTGTAAATACAAAAAAGAAGGATGGACAAGATGCAGGACAGCAATTTAAAAAAACTGAGTCTCTTAAGGCTCCCAGGTTGTGGAGGGCTTTTTGCTCTTTTAGAACTAGTTGAACAAAAAACAGGAGCTTTTACTTTTGATTTAGGAATGGCACTGTAGAAGCGCAAGAGGTATAAGCGAGAACTTTTATTTAATAATTGAAGTTCCGAAATTTTCTAAGAGTAACTTCTTTAGGTCAGATAAACTTACTTCTTAAAAGTACGTAACTGCCAAGTTGTGTGTAAACCAATCTGAATATGTCCACACATATGGGTCTTTCCAAATCTATCAGTTTCACCACTTATTTTGTGAGGCTGGAGAGCTCCAATCACTTGTTTTGGTTGCTTCATTTTATGGGTGTGAACAATCACACCAGACTTCTGAAAGTGACTGGCAGCAGTAGCTAATAGGGATTTTTAAGGTCCACTGGATCTTGGTCCTATGTGCTTTTAAAAAGGTCAACCATAGATTCTCTTTGCCCAGTTGCAACAATATTTACCAATACGACTGTAATAATTAATTAAAATTTAAAAGCATCTTTAAGATGAAAATACGGCATTTACCGTGGCAGTGAGACTTCCTCACTTGCCATACATCCTTGTGTTTACTCAATTGCATGCTCTCAGCTGCAGTGATAAGTAAGGATGCTCACACAATATACTCCTTAGAAGTTCTGTACAGATGTTTATTTCAAGTAAAATTAACATCGTGGCACCTCCCAGTGAGAAACTGCTCATCAGTTTTGCCAATTAAGCTATGAAGTGCCAATGCAAGACAGACCTCTTAAATTACTACATGCTGCTTCTAGAGAACCCCTCTTCAGAACAGAATTCACAAAAACAAGACCTCAGGGCTAAAACACAGCGGTGGAATCGCGCTCCAAGACAAACGCTTCTTGGGCAGGTGCCCGTCTCTTCCCGGGAACACCTCGGGACGGCATTTCAGAGTCCTTGCGTGCCGACACGCAGCAGACCCG